CAGCAGGATTTTGTGATCATGCCGGCAGGACAGTTCCTTTGTGCCTTCGACTGAGGACAGCCGGCGTCCGTCTTGTATGATCTTCCTCTCACAGGACCCCCCCCCCCCCCCCCCCCCCCCCCCCCCCCCGCCCCCCCACAAACATACAGGAGCAGCCTGTCTCTGCCGGCACTGCTCTCCCGGTGTGCAGTCCGGCTTATGCTCAGCACTGTGCTGTGGTTTCCCGGAATCCAGCGGTTTGTGGGCGGTCCTGTTTCCCCCCCGCCCCCCCGACACTCCCCCACTCCCTCTGTCCCCTGCACTCAGCCGCTCTGCCCCCCCGTCCCCACAGAGCCCACCAGTGTAAAACATTCATGACGGCGATCGGCTTACGGTAAGTGGAGGCGGTCCTACAAGCCGGCGCTCGCTGCCAGCCACTTTAAGGCCATTACTGCCCGGTAATCGTAGTACAGGCCGGGGTGGGGGTGTGCCCCCTGGGACCAGGGTGAGGATCCTGATGCCATACAGCGGCCTGTTTTAGCACCCGCCCCCCTTGCTGTGCGTCCGCCCCCTTTGCTTAGAGCCCGCCCCCCCCTCGCTGTGGCCGGCCGCTTCACAGAGTTTTGGATGGGAAGGTCACGTTATCACATGCGTGTGGTCTAGCAGGGTCACGTATGTGTTGGGCATTTAACACAGGTTGAGCGTGCTACTGACTTCAGCTAAACGGGAGGTTTTCACAGAACTGTTCTCAGAGTGTGTGAGTTTGGAGCAGTGTAGCCGTTGTGGTTTGGCGGGGGGTCAGTTTTCGTGGCCCGAGGCCCCCTGTGAACGGGCATGAAAACGTGAGTTTCCACGCTCGGTCCTGGTGTCTTTCAAAAGGCGTTTCTCACTACACTTACCACACTTGATGTGAGCTTTTAGCCAGTGGCCGATGAGTGTCGTCAGGGTTCAGGTGGTAACGTCGCGAGCAGATCCAGTGCCCAGCCTCAATGTCAGTGGGGCCTGAGCCGACCCGCGTTCCCACGCCACTCGTGCCGGAGCCTGCAGCGCCACCTACAGCCTGCCCTCCACCTCTTAGCATCACTCGATTGGCTGCTCAATGAACACAAATTATTTAATTCAGGTGGTGATCCCACTCACTGGGGGTGGGGGGATAGGTGGTGATATCATGCAGTTTTAGTAGACATTAATGCTCTCTCACGCCCCTTTGCTGGTCATGCCTCGTCGGTGCACCTCGTAACGAAGGCGTCTTGCTCCGGCTACAGCTAGGGGGCGCCGACACGTCACACGGCCTGTCAGTGTAGGGCTGCCCCCCTGTTTGTGTGCCTGTGGCTTTTGGATGGTGATGGTTTGGTTTATGGTGACGCAGTTTGTAACCAGCCGCTTCATACGGGTTGCCTGCGGTTAGCTCTTAAACTTCGGTCTTCAGCAGTGTGGTTGTTAATTCTATATATGTGTGTGTGTGTGTGTGTGTGTGTGTGTGTGTGTGTGTGTGCGCGCCCGCCCGCCCGTGCTGGCTTACATTGAATCCATGCCTGATCCCTGCAGCCGTCTCTTTCAGCTTCTCTGGCCGTTCTCCCTCACCGCTGCCTAGGCAACCACAGCCACCCTGCGTTGTGTAAAGGCTCATGTGAGAAACGTGTGACCAATGGAACAGCGGGCAGGGCGAGGAAGCGGGTTCTGCGCAGGCCCATGTGCCGGGCCTCTGTAGAATGTCACGTGACCAGCGACACATTCTGACCCCTCATTCCCAACAGGATGCATCCCCTCGGTCACATGGGGATTCTTCGGTTATGTCACATGTAACGACACCCCCCCCGGGGGTGAAATGAGGAATCTCACTCGCACAGATAGTGCAGAGTCCCCAACCTCACCAGGGAGGCCCTGAAGTGGTCTGGGGGTGTCAGGGTATGAGAACACGCATGGATTTCTAGCCGGCCAGGCTGAGGGGGCCGATGTGGACCAGTCATGCCCAAAAAGCAGAGTCACTAACGCCTTTAACAAATTGCATTGTTGGGAAAATGCAACTGAATGGCTCCAATTGTGTAAGTTACTAATGGGATCTGTAGGGAAACCTTTTCCCTGAGCGGACCGACATGGGCTGAGTTGGGCTGGCCGGGCTGAACAGGGTGACCCACTTCCACAGGGATCTAAGCCGCACTCCCTCTCCTCTGCTCTCCCTCCGCAGTCGCTGATATGTGCTGAAGATGAGCAGTGGCAGTGACCACGCCTCCGACCCCTCGAGGGCGGAGTCCCGCAAGCGTAAGGAGGGTCCGACTGACCACCTAGGACCCAGGTAAGTGTCGATCTCGCCGTTTCTTCCTGACCGGACAAGGGGCTTTATTTCTGTTCCTGAGTAGCGTCTCTTTTCCACTGAAGCGCTGTTGGCCTGGCTGGGGGGCGGGGACGGGGAAGGGGTAATGATGATGTCATCACCCTTCCTTTACATGAACATAAACAGCCTCGGAGCACAGCTTCGATGTGATTCGGCGGGTATCCCCGACCATGTCCCCTCAGTGGCCCAGATTGACACAATGTTGGCACGTCTCAGACACCCCACTCTGTCGGTTTAATAAGCCAAGTTCTTTATTCTGTGGTTCCCCCCCCCCCGTGTCCACAGCCCCAAACGCACCATTGAGCGGCGGAACCGCGAGCATGAAAATAAGTACATCGAGGAGCTGGCCGAGCTGATCTTCGCCAACTTCAGCGACATCGACAACTTCAACGTCAAGCCCGACAAATGCGCCATCCTCAAGGAGACCGTCAAGCAGATCCGCCAGATCAAGGAGCAAGGTAACGGGGACCGCTGTGTTGAGAGGTTGACTGTAACGTGTGATGTCACTCCATCTGGACTCGCGGGCGGTGGTTCAGGTTTGGCTGGGTCCTGGTCCAGTTCTCTGGTCAATGGCTGGCCCTGTTCTCAGGCTAGTGCCTGATCGTGGGGTTTGCTAGGGGTCTTGGGGTTGAGCCAGCTCCCTGGAGGCTGTTTGTGATTCACGGTTAGGAGGTGGGTGCGTCACTGCGGGCGGCGTCATTCCAGGCGGTGTGATGCAAACGTGTAGCGCCAGCGCAGTGACACCTACAGTCCCCCCAGCGGGATTGCGATCAGGGTCCCTCTCATGCTCACCAGAGTGTGTGGGCTCTCTGCGAGCGGCCCCAGGGAGGCACGGACCTGCCATCCTGTTCCATTCCCTTCTCCAGCTCAGTTTCTCAGCGCTCTTCGCCGATGTCGACGAGCACCGCTGCTCAGGCTGCTGCTCTTCTGCCGTCCACTTCACCTAATTAGTATCCCTGGCAACCGTGCCTTTGCTGGCCTGTTTGGATTCGTGGCGCTTTGGGTAATTAGGCTGACGTTTCCTTCGAATGTCCCTGCTGTGCCTCTGCAGAAATGATTGAGTTCTAATTTTATCGGTTTTTGAAAATCACTAATCAGATGTCAGTAGCATGGGAAGCTTAGTAATTTGGAGTTTTTCAGATTTTTTTCTTGTATAAATTTTTGCCTTCAGTATAGAATGCTGTAGGTGTTTCGGAATAGCACTGCCTTATATGATGCAGCTTTGTGTGCTGACGCAGTGGAGGATCGCGCTTGTTCTCCTTTGCATGGTATTTCAGTGTGATTCGCTTGGGAAGGCCGGCACGTTGACCTTGTTCCAGGATGCTCTCCTACTCTACACGGGCTCCTTAGCCTCTCTGACACGGGCTTCCGTCCTGTGAATGCAGCCCCTGTGCTGGGACCCAAACATGCCAGCCGGCCTGTGACTCTGTGACTTTGTTCTGTGGATGTGACCTCTTTTCGGCAGACGTGTTGGGGGAACGATGTCTGGTGGTGACGGGCCCCGTGGGGTCATGGGTTTAACCCTGACCCTGTTGCTGACGTGTTACACGTATGTTTATAGCGTGTATTGCCCTTTTTTTTCAGGCTGTTCTGGCTGGTATCCTCTGAGTGTCACATTAATGTTTCGCAGATTCTTTACGTGGGGACATTGGGGGCGGGTCCTGAAGTGTAGCGTTGGGGGCGGGTCCTGAAGTGTAGCGTTGGGGGCGGGTCCTGAAGTGTAGCGTTGGGGGCGGGTCCTGA